TTTGGTGATATTATTTTTATTTTAACTGTTTATTAATAAACAACTACATTGTTTTGTGACTCTGCTCCAGCTTGATGGGTAAATGTTAGAGATGTGCCGATCAGGTTTTTTCCTGCCGATACCAATCACCCATGAGGGCCGATCACCGATACCGATCACCAATACCGATCACATAATTATTATTATTTATTTTTTATCATAAACACTACCGGTTACATTATGTGGAAAAAGGAACCATGACTTTACCTTAATTTAGACAAAAACTTGTTTTTAATAACTTTTTTCAAGAAGAAAACTAAAACAGGCATTGTGCAAATTGTACTGCTATTGATAATACTATCTTTAACAGACTGATAAAATGTGAAGGCTCTGAAGAGGCTAAATAATACAAAGAGCCAAAATAAAACCTCTCAACATTGCCAAAAGATTCAGGTATAAAACTTAACATTCAAAGGCAAAAACAGGTTCCATTACAATAAACAATCCAGAGTTACTGAATGAAAACTTCCTGATAGCATGGCGGCTAGCTGATTACTGCTAGTTCTGAGTGGCTTTCTGACTGAGCGGAGTAATTATGCAGATCAGGGAGGAGATCGATTATTTTTTTAGAGATCATCAGTCTCATGTTAGGACAACTAAAGTTTTAATACGTATGTAAAATTTATTTTTTTAAGTTATATGCTGCAGCTTTAAGCAGAGGTTCGGTGTGAGAGTCACTACCAGGTGGAGCAGAAGCGACGCCCCGTCTGTGAAATATTACTACCTGTAGCGTAGCAGCGGTTCAACAGCGAGAGCAGAACCAGCGTCTTACATCGCAGCTCGAAGACTTAAATAATTTTGCGGGTTATTTGTTTAGCTTTCTGACCGTCATGCTAATGACGGGTGAGTGTTTGTAGCTGTGCGCTGCTTTACCTGCTGTCTGATCCTCCGTATGTCTTTTTACTGCAGTGAGCCTCGATGTAGCCAAACTCCGTCAAGTATGGCATTGTTTTTATGTCGTATTAGCTTCGTTGTGTTGATGCATTTTCCGCATTTGTGCTTCAATTTTCCGCAGCAACACGCAGCAAACTTCCCCAGTCACTCAGTGCGTTATAGTTGCACATTGTTAGGATTTGTTGCTGCGCGTTTGCGCAGTGTGAAGGAAAGAGGAGACCAGCTGCATGAGATGATCGGTATCGGCAACAAGAGCCAATGATCGCCGATCATGCACTTTTTCATGAAAATCGGCCCGATTATGATCGGTGACCGATCGATCGGCACACCTCTAGTAAATGTAATTATATATGTCAACTAACATTAAGACAAATATTAATTACCTTACTGAGTGTGCATGGGGAACCGTACGCTGTGTTGGTTCTATAACCAGTACACTATTTAACATTTCAATGTGTTTCAGAACTTTTCTGATTTTATCATCTTTCTGACCGGCGCCTTCCTCACTCTTATCTCTGTGTGTTTCTGCAGTCGGACCCAAAGCTGACTGACGGCACCAGTCAGACCTGTTAGCCCAACTGGTCCTGTTTCCTGGTTCATTCAGAACCAGCTGAACTTCCTGGACCTTCATGGACAATAGACTGATGTTCTGACAGGAAGGAGTCGAATATGTCTGTTTTCTAAAATAAAATGTTATGTTGATGCCATGTTGTCGTTTTTAAGCTTGTGTAAACACATTTTTGTAAATATGTTAAAGATAATTATGAATGAATGATACCATCGTCTGCCAATAAAACTGTTTTATCACCAGTGAAGAAACTTTTAATGATGTCGAGCTATCAGAGCAAACATGTCCATGAATCAGCATCGATTCCTGACTCATTCAATATAAAACCAACTGAATGTGCATCTAGATCCACATTCAGTTGGTGGTTGAACCAAAACTCATAGAGTCAGTTACAGTTCAATCGTTGAGTCGTTTCAATGTCAGGCTTCAACGAGGATTCACCGTTTCTGCCAACGTTGCTTCTCTCATATTGTAGAGACATTCCTCACCTGAGTCCTCAGTTTGATCATATCCGACTCCACTTGATTGTTGGACTCGTTCAGATCTTTGATTTCTTCATCCAGCTGTTTAATTTCTTCATCGTTTTCTATTCCTGAAACACAAAGTTCCACCCAGATTAGGGATTCTGGCTCGGCTCCGGGTCGATTCGCTCAGAGGTTCTCGTCTCACCTTTGCTCGCTCTTTGTTTGATTGTCAGCATGTCCGCGCTGCTCATCCGGGCCTTCTTCATGGCCGAGGAGGTGCGGGGACAACCGGAGAGACTGGGATACAAACAGATGCTGAAAACATCTGGATCAGGCGGAGCAGCTGGAGGACAGGAGCCGTCTTTATTCCTAACTCACCTGCGGTGGGTCAGGAAGCTGCCGCTGACGTGTCCGGAGCCGTCGCAGCCTGGCGTCGGACATGTCATCCCGTCCGTCTTCCCAGCCTTCCAGACGAACTGCGAGCCGTTCATGTAGCTGTCTTTCTGCCTCTTGGCCGCCAGGGGGCAGCCTGATGCGCTGCGGTGGGAGGCGTACTTCCCCGTCACATGACCCTGTCCGTCGCAGCCGGGGACCGGACACCTGGGAGGAGCAGCAAACAGGAAGCAGCATTCTGTCTTTCAGCTGGAAAAAGCTGCCCCCTGCAGGCCGGAGGCCAACTCGACACCTCACACTCTGACATTCAGACGCTTACTTGATGGGCTCCTGCTCGTCCTTCTCCTCTTTGCTGTGGAGGATTTTCACGCCGCTCTTCTTGGCTCGAGGACAGCCGGAGAGACTGGAGGACAGGAAGAGGAAACGGCCGGAGTGAAAAACCTGCAGAGCAAACGCTGGTTCATGTGTTGTTCTCTGTACCTCCTGTGGGAGGCGTAGTTCCCCGTGATGTGTCCCGATCCGTCACAGCCCGGCGTGGGACACCTGGTTGGCAAACAGCGCCACCAACAGTCAGCCAGAGGAACTACAGCAGAGCTTATCAGTTTGATTTTAAGACTCACTTGAGTTCTTGCGAGTTGGACGACATCAAACCACGAATGTTCTTATCAGCGATCTGGCAGCTGGACAGACTGCAGCAGAAGGAGAAGAAGAAGAAGATCACTGCAGAGTCACTGAACACAACCACAACTTGTATTAAGAACTGGACCAGCAGGATCTACTCCACAAGATCCACTGGGAAAACACCAGTAAGATCCAACCAGTGGATCTTACAGCTGATCTGTGGTTCAGATTCTGTTGCTATGGAGCAGCCTGGGCCCGTGGCTAGCTGCTGCTAACCGGTCGGGTTATCGGTGGGTTGGTAGAGCAGCAGCCACAGTCAGTATCTAACCTGGCGCCTAGCGGAGACGCTGCAGCCTTACCTCATCAGCTCCTTCTTGCCCTCCTTGCAGGGCGGGAACTTGTGGTGCTTGGGGCTCGGCGCCGTCACCTCGGCCGGGTACCGCGGCTCATCCAGCAGCTCCTGGAACGGGTCCAGATCGTCACTCTGCTGCAGGGTGACAGATAAAACCAGAACAATGCTTTTCATTCATAAATGTGACACTTTCAAACTAAATATTTTATTAGAAAACAAAATATTTAGCTAGCAAGCTAAACATTTAGCTCTGAGTTAGCTATATATTAAGTTTATGGATTAAATATCTAACTTGTAAAATAAAGGCTTTGCTCTGAGGAGCTAAATGATTAGTTTGGAGTTAATTAAAAACAGACCCAGCTTATATTTTGGAAGTCTACCAGCACTTATCCGGGATGTGAATTTGATCTAAATATTTACTTCTGAGTTTAGCTTGATAAATACGTAGCTGATATATTAGTTTGAAACTGTAACATTTATGAATGAAATAAGGTGAAAATATGATGTTTTTCCTCTTACTGAAAGCTAAATTATTGCTGCTAGCTTTAGACACGGTGCCCATGAGAACCCGAAGGGATCAATCAGGAGCTGAAGGTTGGTGCAGCAGCTGACATTTCTGTGAACTCTGAACATGGAGGAGTTTGTTCCTGCAGACCCGATGGTGCAGTCCCACCTCTGCCCTCAGGGGGCAGTCTGAGTCGGTGTACCTCTCTGAGCTCCGGCTCGTCTCCAGGCCGCTTGGTGAAATCCACCGGCAGCTCCCAGCAGTCGGCGTCCAGCTGGAAGCAGCGGCTGCTGAGCAGAGCCTGGCGCTGCGGCGACATGGGCTGCAGCGGGGTCAGCACCGCGCCGCCGCCCTCCGGCCCGCCGGGCGCACCGGACGGCTCCGCCGGCCCGTCGTCCTCCGTCCCCAGGCTCTGGGGGACAGAATCATTAAAACCCATTACAGCCGCAGCCTTCTGAACCAGAACCACTCTTTATGGTCATCCAGCAGGAAAAAAAAAACACCCCAAAGCACAAACAACTTAAGACAGGTAGACAGCGCCGCCGCAGCCAGGGCCTCACCTGGGCCAGCAGCTCGTGGGGCTTCGCGCCCAGGGCGTTGGGCAGCTCCCGGCAACGGGTGGACAGGTTGAGGATGGCGGTGGCGGCCATGTGGGCGGCCTCCATGTCGTGGGTGTAGTCAAAGCTGCTCTTGCTGCAGGTGCTGCTGGCGCTGCTTCCCCCCCCTCCGCCGCCGCCGCTCAGGCTGCTGCTGCTGCTGGGGGCGTAGCTGGTGGTGCTGCTGGCCGGGCTCGATGTCTTGCAGTACCGCTTCGCTGCAGCGCCGGAGACGGGAGAACAGACACGTGGCAGAGCTGGGAGCGGGAGGCGGAGCGCTCCGGATCCGATCCCAGGAGCACGGATCCACTGCAGTGGATCCACAGTGGATCCACTGGACCGGATCAACCGGACAGGATTCACTGAACTGGATCCAAAGGACCAGATCCATTGGACCGGATCCACTGCACTGGATCCACGGGAAAATTTAAAGCCCGTCGGTCATTTTGACAGGTTATAATTAACACCCCTGACTGGTGCACACGGGGAAACATTACAGACTTTATGCTAAGATTTAATCGCAGAGGCAACTGAAATCAATTAATTAAAAATCCTTTCTGAAAATCATCTCTGAACTAAATGTGTGTTGAAGAGTGATGGACCAGACGCTTTGGAGCGTCTGGTTAGGAAGCGGATTACAAACCTTTGGTAGAAACGGAGCGTTAAACTCAAGTCTCCATTCCAGACCAGAGAAAACCAAAGGGAACCCAACGTTGAGCTAATCCATTACAGTCTAAACAGAGGAGCCGGCAGATTATCTTGAGGACATAAATGATGGCGAAGTTATTAGACCGTAACATGCGCAGTGCGCTGCGGCTGCACAACCAATGCGGACGCGGCCCCGCCGCTGCNAGAAAAAAATGGGACTCGTTCACTGGTTAATGACTGGTGACTCGTTAACTGGTTAGGTAAGGTAATTTTATTTATGTAGCACATTTTCATCAACAAGGCAATTCAAAGTGCTTCACATGAATTAAAAGGAAATGCAAACAAAATAAACCAAAGGAAAAAGAAGAAAGGACACATTAGGGCAAATTGCAACATTCAGACAAAACAAAGGGGCAAAACAAAGTCATGAGTGAAGGCGGTGACGTCACAGGGCCATGAAACCACGTTGCTCAGCCTCCTGGCAGAGTCCGATAAGATGTTATCTAGGAATGTCCTTAGGAGCGCTCAGCTGCATGGATACAGGAGGGGGTGAGGAGGGAAGAGCATTATGGTTACATATCTTCAAGGAGATTAGAAATATGCAGCCCATCCAGGGCCACACAGGGAAAGCCAATTCAGAAACAGAATGTCTTAGGTCAGGAAGATTATAGATTTCAATCTTCTCTAAAGTCTCTCCGATACATCGGTTAATGACTGGTTAGTGACTCGTTAGGGACTTGTTAACTCAGATATGTCCAAAGTCCGGCCCGGGGGCCAAATGCGGCCCGTGGTCAAATTTCATCCGGCCCGCAGCCTCTGTCATAAAATCAATGACGTCTGGCCCGCACGTAGAATTAATACGTTGGGCAGCAGTACTGTTACCTGCATAGGGTGGAGCTTACACACTACACGCTGTTCCTCGTTTACCCACTAGAGGGCAGCAGCCCTGTGACTCGGACCATATGCAGCTGGAGCTCATGGACCTTACCAAGCTCTGCCCAGAAACGCCCCCTAAAATCCCACGTGGCTGCATGTCTCTCAAACAAGCAGTTCGGCACCAGCAGCTTTCTCTCGCCAACTTTTACCGACAGCTGGACAAGGACAGAGATTCGGTTTGGTAAGAAAATGCTAAGCTTGTTTGGGTCGACGTTAGGGTTCCCACCTGTCAGGTGGGGGGACTGTGTTACCCAGAAAGCAGTTGGGCGCAATATCCCAACACCGTGAGTGAAACAGTGACTGGGGCAGCCGACTATATAAAGTACTCGGGGACCATCTCTTTGTCATTACACATTAATACGGAACAAAGCGCGTTCCGTTTCAGTTCCATACGGCACGGTCCGTATTTTACGGGACGGGTTGCAACACTTTTCTACGTATTTGTGAGAAGACATTCTGGGTTGTGAACTTAAATAACTCTCACTTAAGAGACATCTTGCGCATCAACACCGCTGCCTTTGAGCCAGACCTGGCCCTTGTGCTGCAGTCCACATCTCAGTATCACATTAATGCAGACAAGTCATTTGTCATTTACAGTAAGTCTCTGGATACATTTTGTTTTTGTTTTTTAAGATCAAAATGAGTCATAAATTCACCTGAGTGAAGTTGGCCCCCCCACCTTCTTCAAATCAGACAAAATTGGTGTCAATCAACTCGGCTACGTTTGTGTTGATTTGTGCAGCAAAAATTTTCGTTTGTGCTGCTTTGGCTTTGAAGATATTAATGAAAGTGTAAAGGTCAAAAGGTCAACCAGCCCCCCCACTTTTATGAAATCAAACAAAATCGGTGTCAAACATTAGTGCTATGTTTGTGCTGGTTTGTGCTGCAAAACTTTTCGTTTGTGCCACTATCATTTTAAAGATATAAAGAAAGTTGGATTTCATAAAAGTTGGGGGGCTGATTGACCTTTACACTTTCATTAATATCTTCAAAGCCAAAGCAGCACAAACAAAAAATTTTGCTGCACAAATCAACACAAACATAGCCGAGTTGATTGACACCCATTTTGTCTGATTTGAAGAAGGTGGGGGGTTGGTTGACCTTGGATGACCTCTGGAAACATTTCTTTATATCTTTAAAATGATAGCGGCACAAACGAAAATTTTTGCTGCACAAACGTAGCACAAACATTTGACACCAGTTTTGTCTGATTTGAAGAAGAATAAGAAACTTTTAAAAATCTAATCAACATTTACTAATATGTCATATTTCAAATGAGCCCTGCACATGTTATGACTATTACTTGCTCCTTTTTCTGTTATTTAAAAATTCTGTAAATATTGAACTGCCATGGTTAGATATTTTTTATGTTTCAAATGTAATTTACACTCATGAGTACAATTACTTCTGTTTAACCGTTAGAAAAAAGTTAGTGTTAAAAAAGTGAAGTGATTATTCAATTGCATACGATATGCATGTTTCAAATGAACCTAAAGACATGCTTAAGATCGCTGAAATTAAAATAAAAAGCAAATGTGAAACACAGAATGGCTTCCTGAAATGTGTTTAAATATATTGCTGTTCTATGTAAAGGACGTCCGCCAAGGTCAGCCCCCCTACATTTTTAACGCACCAAATCTGGCCCCCTCTGCAAAAAGTTTGGACACCCCTGTGTTAACTGGTTAGTGACTTGTTAGTGTCTCCCCCCCAGGCGGCCTGCAGGGCTCTGGAACTGGCCCGGCAGAACCACATCCAGAAGCTGGTTCTCTACACTGACAGCAAATTCACCATCAACGGTGAGTCATCGTCCTGGACCTTGGGAGGTGGTGGGGCCAGGTGACCTCTGACCTCTGACCTCCTGCAGGTGTGACCAGTTGGGTGAAGACCTGGAAAGTGAACGGCTGGAGGCTGAAGTCTGGTGGTCCGATCACCAACAAAGAAGACTTCATGACGCTGGACCGGCTGAACTCTGAGCTGGACGTGGTCTGGGTAAATAACCGGGCCGAACCGGGCCGGGCCGCTGGGACAAAAAGCTGGGTGCTCCTAACTGTCCCTCTCCCTGCAGATGCACGTCCCGGGCCACGCGGGATTCACCGGGAACGAGATGGCGGACCGGCTGTCGAGGGAAGGAGCAGCCAAGGAGCCGCAATGAAAAGTTTCTGATATTTTCTGATTTCCTTTCTGTTCAGAGTGAAAATAGTTGAGTTTAAAGCTGTTCTCATCATTATCCAGCAGGGGGCACTGCTGCATTCTGAACCAATCATCACGTTAAACTGGGAGCTTACTGGTACCAGTTTGGCTAAGTATTGTTTTCCCTGTTTAGAGATGAAACTGAAGTAAGATATATTTGCTGCATAAATGGAACTGAAGCCTTTCAATCGAATCTGTGGGAATAATTAACTCACCATTCGGAGACGGGAGGATTATTGATTCTGCTGCTGTTTCTGTTGTCTGATAAAACATAAGAGAGTTTCTCTAACTGTTGATTAAAATGTTTAAAAAGGCTAAAGAAGTGTGTCTTTATTCCCTGAAGGATTAGAGCAGTGGTGCCCAAAGTCGTCCTGGAGGCCCGTCCTGCGTGTTTTAGTTCCTCCCTGGTTTAACGCACCATTTGAAGAACATTGACCTGCTGAAAAGGTTTTTACTACCACCAGGGAGAAAAGGAAAACATGCAGGATGCCGAGGACTGACTTTGGGCAGCCCTGGATTAATGTTGGTTAAATATAATCCCTGGTTCTGATTGGCTGATGAAGATTAAAAGATTTGTTAATTTTCTAGTTTAACTAGCAGCAAGGATCATAACTATACATACCGCTGGCAGATTAAGCATGGAGGTATGCTGACTGGACGAAGAAGTTTGTTTCTGTCAGTCTGTTTTGAAATAACTTTTATATTTTGTAAATCTGTTTCTGTCTGAACTCTGACCTCGCTCAGTTTGGCTCTGAAAACTCTGGCAGCAGCAGGCTGAGGCAGAGCCTCCCCTGACCTCTGACCTCTGCCTCCTGGCCAAGCGGGTCACCGCGATCCTGCCAGCGGCGGCACACGCTGCGGGGTCAAAGGTCAATGCTTCCGCAGCTCATTAGCTCTGCAGCTGGAGGGAAGCAAAGCGGTAGAATCAAACCTGCTTTGCTTCAGAACCTTCTGAGAAAATAAACTTTGCATATTGGGTCAGAGGAACTGGGTCAGAGTGGACCGGAGGAACCGGACTGGAGTTCTGCAGAACTTCCCACCTCATGTGCAAAGCCAGGAGAGATGGAGGTCCACTCTGCAGTTCTGAGCAGCTCCGTTTGGACTGGACTCCCTCAGCAGGACCAGAACCTCCAGATCTCAGCATGATGTCAAGACGGGTCTGTTTCCATGACAACAGGGACCAAGACGGAGCTGGGAAAGAGAAGATCTTAATCTGACACTATGACAGGATCCAGCAGGTCAGCACCATGGCCAGTTCTCCCAGTTTGAGGCTGGTTTTGGCCCAGATCAGCCCAGTCCTCCCTGCAGCAGCCTCAGTGGGAGGAACAGCAGCATGTTGGGATGCAGCGCAGCTCTCTGGGCGTCAGCCTGCTGCAGACCTGAGCTGCATACTAACAGGCAGCTGCAGGAAACACCCAGCAGCTGCTCTGCTCCAAACGCTGAGTGTTATTATTGAAATATCGTGCTTAAATGTTGGAATCACTAATTATTATTGTTATCATTGAAATGTTCTGGTTCTATTGGGTTTTATTTGACATATTTAGATTGTATTCTTTATTAATATCAAAATAAAAACCAGCTCGTGTTTCTTTCCAGAACCGGAAGGAGAAAATTTGGCTGATGAATTATTGCTGCTGGTTTTGTCCCCCTGGTGGCCGGCAGCGGTACTGCAGCGTGTTCTGTTGACCTGTAACCTTCAGCGGTGTTTACCTGAGGAACAGGTGACGAGGAAAGGGGGCGGTGCCAGCAAAGACCTTCATCATAAGCTCCTCTTCCTCCCCTCTGATTGGTGATTCATCACTTCTGTGTGCCTGGTAGTAAATAAGTAAATACAAATATATAAATTAGTCCATGATAAATTAAGATTAAATAACTATTGTACAGATTAACTTGGTGGTCATATTCTGAGTTTACTGACATGATGTCAGGGTTGAAGACATAAATTGGAAAAAAGTCAGTTTTACTATTGGCTGTAGCAAAACAGCCAATAGTGGAGCTCACCATATTTCAAATCCTCTTCTGATTGGTCGATCACCCGCCATGATGACTCCTGCTCCTGTATCAGAAGCTGCAGGAACATCTGAAAGGCAAGCATGGACTGAAGCACAGCACTGAGCCAATACTCAAGAATCTCCAAAAAGAAAAATCCTGACATGGCCTAGTTAAAGCCCAGAAACTCCTCATTTCACTTAGATGAGTCAAACTACCAGAGGAGCAAAAAACTGGACTCCAGTCAAAACTACAAAAATTCCCAGGAAGTTCCACTAGCAGAGGGGTGTGCTAACTTTGTCCCTGTCTGCAGAGTTCTTTAGTTTCCCAGACAAATAAAAAAGATCAGAAACTTTAGAGAAACTCTAAATCAATACCAAAAGTTTCTGCAGGTCAAAGGTCACGGCTCCTCGCCCATACAAGGAGCCGGGAGCCTGGGGGGTATGGTCCAACGACTTTCTCTGGCTGAGCGGGTGGACGCTGCAGGCTGCAGGACCTGAACACCTACACAGCAGCAGGCTGCTGGTTCTGGTCCAACTGGGTCGGAACCGTCTGAGATCAGATGATAGTGAAGAAGATGATGAAGAGGAAGACATCTAAACTAAACTTTTCTTCACTTTCAGGAAAAGAAAACTTTCCTCTATTCAGCTCAGAATAACTTCAGGATAAAAACGGAATAAATTCAGGATAACGTGTTAAAAAGTAATCACCTCCCTGTTACATAATAAATTAACTGTTTGGATTCAGCTCTGGCCGTTTCTTCAGTGAACAGGCCTGATGAAACATCGTTAGCTTAAAGTGTAGCTAACCTTCGTGACCCAGAGAGGTCACTTCCTCAAAGTGGGTGGGGCTATGACACGCTTAGGGGCGTGACCAAGTGTGGGGATTAGTGGAGAGGGTTAAGTGGGGGTGTGGTCAGGACTAGGGCTTTTCTTTTTAACAGAAAAAGAAACTCTCGACCTGTAAAATAATTGATCAGATAATATTCCGTCACCTTAAATGAACACAGTTATTCAAAAGAAATTAATTCTGAGTGAGATACCAGCCAGTCACAGAAGAAGACGAAGAATAACCTATCGATCTTTTTTGTGTATTTTCTATTATAATTGTAGCACTACAGGCAGTTTATAGATGGTAGTTCGACAGGAAGGAGGCAGAGAGGACAGACAAAGGAACTGAGCTGCGCCCGCTACCGGCTTTTCTTCAAACAAAGATAACGGTTACGGCTAGCCCATAGGCTAGCGGTTAGCCTAGCGGCTAGGGCTAACTGTTAGACTAGCGGCTAGGGCTAATTGTTAGCCTAGCGGCTAGGGCTAACTGTTAGCCTAGCGGCTAGGGCTAACTGTTAGCCTAGCGGCTAGCCTAGTGGCTGGAATAGGATTCATCTGTTACTCAGTTACTCAAACAGTTAATAATTAGGCTGCCATAGGAGAAGAAAAATGGAGGTTAATTTTGCACTCATACTTTCAACATGTTAATTTATTTATAAATGTCAAAGTATTTAGTTAGCAAGCTAAATACTTGGGTTAACTGTGGTAACTAAATATTTAGAATTTCGGTGGTATACTGAACTTTTAGTTGACTAATTAAACGTTTTACAATAAATGAAACATTGTCATAAATAAAATATGACAGAAAAATTAATTTCTATTGTTTCTGTTATGATGAGTCAAATAACCCAGACTATTTCTGTTCACTTTTGACTGAGTAACTTTATAAACGTCACACACACATCATCATTATCATGTTTGTGTTATTGATGGTTAAACATTCTTCAGTTATTAAAAACCTGCCTATTTGTGAAACCAGAACCAGTCCGGATCAGAACCTTCCGGTTCCGGAGGGGATTCAGCATCTGGAGCGTCGCTGAGGAAGAGGATGCTGCAGCCGAAGATCAGCGCGGAGTTTCTGCTCGGAGCTGAACAAAGAGAGGAGGCGACACGACTCACGGGGCGCGCGCTCACAGGACGCGTGCGCATTCACGGGGCGCGTTCACAGGATGCGCGCGCTGTAGTGAATGCAGGAGCAGCGAGGAGGAGGAGGAAGGCTGAATGCGCCTCCTGACTGCGCGCTGTCCTCGACACATAAAGACAGGAGAAGATCCGGAGACTGAGAGGTAAACGCTCCCTCCTCTTCCTCCTCCTCATCCTGCTCTTCCTCATCCTCCTCCTGCCCCTCCTCATCCTCCTGTTCCTCCTCATCTGCTGCATCCTCATCCCCCCCAGTGAAGGCATGGCCCAGCGTCACAAAGGATCCGGACCGGAGCGGAGACCTTGACAGAAAGAGGCTGCAGACTCCAGAGGAAGAAGAGAGGAGGAAGAGCTTGTAGGTTTCCATGGCGCCGCTCTGTGCTCCTGCAGCAGTCTGTGTCCAGGTGTCTCCAGGTGTCTCTCCTCTTTGTTCTGTTCTGCTGGGATTATTTCCTGATAATCCCAGGAATATTCCAGGTTCATCCTGAGCTGATGCCAGTGGTTTTCCAGGTGTTTTCCGTTGGGAATGTTGAGCTGATCCGGCCGTTTTCCTGGAGTTTTCCAAGAGATCCGGGTTTTCCGGAATTATTCGTTCATGGCACTCTGCTGCTCCGGTCATTCATACTTGGAGTCCCATCTGCAGGTCAGCAGAGTCTGTTTTGGCAATTCCCAACGTTTCTTCTGGTCCCTGAATGCCTCGCGGTCCTGCCAGTTGTCATGGCGATCCTGTTGGGAAGCTGGGATGCTGCCAGATGAAGTCCCGATGTCATTTAATCCAGATATTCCCTCAACTTCCTGCAGCTGATTCCCATCCGGCCCGGTTTCCATGGAAACAGCAATCCTCTGTCAGGAAAATCTGAGAGAAATGTTCCGGTTCTGTGCTGATCTGGATCAGTACTGGGTCAGGTTTGGGTCTCACACCAGAGGCATCTTCCGGAATCTGGTTCCACAAAACTTTCAGAGTTTCCACAGTCGTCTGGAGGTCATTCCTGATGTTTGGAGGGAAGTTAGTGTTTCTGGTTCTGGACCAGAATGTTCTGTATGTCTGGTTTCTGGGGTTCCTGATCCGAATGTTTCCGGTTCCAGATGGACCAGTGGTCTGGTCCGCCTGGTTCTGGGTCAGTCTAGTCAGGTTCTGGTTATTGACTCAGAGATCTCTGCAGAATTCCTCGATGGCAGAAACAGGAAGTGATGCAGGAGAACTTTCTGTGCTGGAGAGCCTTCCAGATGTTTTTCTGGAACATCAAGAACAGATTTGGCTGTCAGCATCCAGACCGGACCAGACTGGAGTCTGATTGGTTGGATCTGTGATGGCGGTGAACGTTTGAACCAGTTCAGATTGTCGGATCCGTTTCTCCAACCACCAGAAAGTGGTCCAGGTGCAGGGTTTCCCCCAGTGCATCATAAGCCTGGCGGCCCGCCATGCTTTACTAGCCCCCCCACCAGGCCAAGCGTTGCTCGTTTTTGTTTTTAGGAAAATAACTATTTAATATTATTATACTTGTTTTTTTGTTATCTGTATTGAAAGCGTCTCTGTTGCTCTGAGCGTTTCACTGGTGGAGCAAATTTATTCCTAAAAGATGGTTTATAGTTGATGCACTGAAAGCGGGCAGAGCGGACCAATCACACGCTGGAGCAGCTGGATGTCTGAAGTTTAACTCGGCACAGATCGCCTCCTTTCACTCAAACTGGACACAGACTGACCAGATATTTACATCAGCCACTGTGAGGGATTATGATTCTTTAGAGAACTCCACATCAAGGTAAGAGTTTAAACCCGCTGCGTTAGCTCTGGTTGAGCAGCTCCATGTGAACCGCAGGAATAACTTGTCGTCGCTTTCAGAGGAGCGTTGAGAATGATTTATATTTGGGAACAAAACATTATGTGCAGCGTTTACATCTCAACTCGCTGTCCACCGTGTGGCGCTGTGTCCCGGTTGGCCGCAGCGTTAGCGGTTTAACTTGTGGAGTTTTCGCGCTGACCTCGTAGTCACGCATCACAGTGGTTTTATTTTGTTTTATCATTATTTTTCCGGCTACACGATGCATCAAACCATACCAAATGCTTTGTCCACTTAGCTAGAGTTAATGAGCGAGGACATCAGGAAAACTCGTCCCATAAACTTGAGCAACCAAAACAGTTTCTGTGATTCTTATTAAAACTCAACAGACAGAAATGTTAGAGCTGCTAGAGCCACATAAATTCAATCTCCTGTTTGTCCCTCTGTATTCAGCAGAGATGAGCAGTGCAGTAGATTAACTCATCCTGCAGGGCCGGTCCAAGGCTGCATGAGGCCTGGGGCAGAATCTGACTGAGGGGCCCCATCAGCACCTCTAACAGCTTCTGAGTTGGATTTAATCTGGGAGAGGAGGAGGAGTTTAACTGGCCAACCGAAAAACAGTCAGTTATAATCCAGATTACTAATTTATATTTGGGAACAAACAGCTCAAACTCAAAGATTTAACTCACAGTATCAGAGTGTTGCTATGGTAACAAAACAATCTAACTTTGAACTTTTACAAAGTAAACTTACCAGCTCTTTAAAATCTTATATTTAAACCTGAAACGATTTAAAGTCCTTTAATCTGTTTATGCTGAAACCATTAAATCAAACTTAGCAGCATTGATCATCTCAATAAATAAATATTACATTTATGTATCTGTATTAAAATATTAGCATTTGTGGCCCCTGAAGCCCTGGGGGCCCGACGGAGCCGCTGACTTGATTTGGATTAAACAAGTGCAAATAATTGATGTTCATTTTAATTGTATGTTTTGATTTGTTGTTTTTCAGACTAGCTGTGGGTTTAAATATGGTTCCACTGGAGATGTTTTCCTGTAACATATAATTACCAAGTAATATTTTTACATTTCCTGTCAACATCTTTTACTACAAAAACACGGCGGAGCGCCCGCCGGGCCCACAGGTTTACTGGGGGAACCTGAGGTATCGGACCCACTTCAAATTTTCCCTATCTGATCTCCATGACGACCAATCCAGACCAGCAACAATCTGGAGGAGGAGAACCAGACTCAGTCCAGACTGGATCTGGTGGGCCAATAGAGGCTGCAGTTTGTCCTGTAGCCCAGCAGATGGCGATGAAGAGCTGGCAGCTATAAAGAAGAAGAACTTTGATCCATTTGTTGTTAAAATGCTGGAAACAGGGAGTCTGATGGTAGCTTGTAGCTTCATCTTCCTCCTCTTTCTTCTTCTACACCAGTCTGGTGACTCTTCCTCTTCATTTCTTTATTTGGCGCCCTCCAGTGGCTGGGAGGGCGGCGCACCGAGGAGGAACATTTCCTTTGCAGAGTTCAAACTGGCAGCTCTGCCTGATGGAGTGTGACTCTGTGCGTGCATGTGTGTGTGTGCGTGTGTGTGACATGCCTGATGAAGTGTGTGTGCAGCAGAGCGCTGCATCATGTCGTAGCAGACAGTCGGAGCGTTGGACTGAATATTAATCAGCAGGAAGCTGCAGCTAACACACACAGAGTTCTGGGAGGAATCCCTGGTGGTTCTACCAGGATCTGGACCTGTGTCGGTCACATCTTCTAGCCTGACTGCTCAGGGTTCTGCTGGACCAGAACGCCGAGACTTCTGGGACCCAGAACGGTTCATCAGACGACACAAACATCCTAAAGTCCTTTGATCCTTCTTGCTTCCCAGAACCAGCAGGTTCTGTTCAGGTTCCCAGAATTTGGGGCAGTGTTGGTTGATTCTGATAGGTTGGCTCATCATATTTGTTTTTCTGGTTCTGGTCATAATGTTCTGCCAGTTTATTCAAGCTCAACATAGAGCTAATGAGGAGAGCTGCAGGGTTCTGGTTCTGGCCCTGGACCCGGGTGGTCGGGTTAAATGAAGCAGAACCGCTGAGTCATGTCTGCAGGTGGACTCTCCTCGCTCTGCTGCAGATCATCTTAATGTTTCTGATGTTTGACTGACCTCTAGTGATCCTTGACCTCTGGTGACCCCTGACCTCTGGTGACCTGCCGAATGTCTCGTTATGGGGGGTTTCCTGAACCCCCCATAACGAGACATTATTATGTCTAACCCTAACCCTAACCCTAACCCTGAGCTGGCCTGAGTCTGGCCAGCTCAGGGTTCTGGATCTCTGAAGGCAGCCATCTTGTCTCCTCAGGACATGGCTCTGGAGGACGGAGTGTGACGCATCGCTGGGCGTGAAGAGTCCTCAGCATCAGGACCAGCAGCAGAAAGCGGACGGCCCACCGCAGCTACAGCCAGGTAGAACCAGGGCTGGTTCAGCGTGGAGCGTCAGCCGGGTCACGTGATCAACACTTTCTGTTGTATTTTTCAGATGGAGCCTAATGTGGCTGAGAAACGCCATCGTACCCGGTCCAAAGGAGTTCGAGGTACGACAACCGACTGATCAATCTGGATAATATCCAAACCTAGACCCTAACACCATGATCTGCCTCCAGTCCAACCAGTACCAGTACCAGACCCAGTAAAGATCCATTACCAGTCCCAGTACCACTCCCAGTAAAGACTAAGTACCAGACTTTAACTTAAAAAGAACTTGTTTGATTTTCCCTCACAGATTAAAATTTTTAAGGTAAATGTCTTCCTGTTATTTAGCTGCCACTTCCTGTTTCTGAGTTGGTACTTCCTGTTACTTAGCCGTTACTTCCTGTTANGCTGACTTAGTTTGGATTAGACAGAAGTGAAAATAATTGATATTAATTTTAATTGTATGTTTTGATTTGTTGTTTTTCAGACTAGCTGTGGGTTTAAATATGGTTCCACTGGAGATGTTTTCCTGTAACATATGATTACTCAGTAATATTTTTACATTTCCTGTCAACTTAACATCTTTTACTACAAAAACACGGCGGAGCGCCCGCCGGGCCCACAGGTTTACTGGGGGAACCTGCAAACAGACTGAAGAACAGTTTATAGCCGGTTAAATACTCTCTTGTATTATTTATCACCCAATTTCTTTATAATCTAAGTAACTTTATTGCATGGTTTCTATAATGTCAATAAAGATTATTATTATTATTAACAGGAAGTGACGTCTGTTCAAGCAGGAAGCAGTCCTCACCGTCGTATCCCTTCGGAGAGAGGTCCCGCCCCTGCAGGGCCTTGGAGGCGGGGCCTCTCTTGCCGTAGCCGGCCTGCTGGCCGTCGTAGCCGCCGTAGTCGTAGCTGGTCTTGGAGTATTTCTCCAGCTCCTTTGTGAGGTTGGAGCGCGGCGTGCTGGTGGGAACGTTGTTCTTGAAGCCATACTGAGGAATCTCCAGCTGTTTGACGAAACACATCGGCCTGAAACGGGAAGAAAACACGGAGCGTTGCTGATCCTGCCAGGAAAATGGAGAGCAAAGATTGGCCTGTCATGATAACTGAAGTTTCTGGGTGATAAATCGTCCCAGAAGTTATCACGACAAACGATAAAATTGTAGATATAAAGGTAATAACAGAATAATAATTCTTATTCTCAAAGATCAGTAAACTTTAAACTCTGTCTTGGAAAACATTTTAAATATCCAGAATAAATAAAACAAATAAAATGAATTATGAAGAAAATGACCCTACATAAAAACACCAAAGCTGCTGAACGAAGAGTTTACCGTCTGGTTTTTGGTAGAAAAACGATAAATCATGATTGACTATGTGATGAACTGAGTTATTGATCCTCCCTCCCGGAAAGGGGGCGGTACCTGAGGACTCTGTCTGACGTCTGATTGGTCTTGGCGCCGGCGTCGGCAGCGAAGGTTTTCTCGTGGACCTTGGCCATCTTCTCTGCAGCAGCGATGGGACAGCCGGACAGACTGACGGAGGGACAGACGGAGGTTAGACTGCAGGACAGGAAGCTGGACGCTTCAGACAGGAACTGGTTCTAATGGTCTAACTGGACCCCTCCTGGTCAGGTTGGTTCGCTCCCTGTGGATGAACAGTTTAAACTTCCGACATCCTGGAATAAAGGGATTAGATAATCCCACCAAGCCAACATGGCGAACAGAAGCCGGCAGTTAGTGATGCATCATCAGACAGGTGAGGCGGACTCACCTGCGGTGGGAGTTCCTGTTGCTATTGACATGCCCCCGTCCAGAGCAGCCAGGAGTCGGACACTTTAACACATTTTCATACATGGCAAGGACTTGAACAGACAGGAGAGGTGAGAGAGACAGCGAGGGTTAGGAGCAGACAGGAGACTCAGTACGGACCGCCGGGCATGCTCAGATCACACCAAGATGGCCGACCAGGCGCCACGACCACAAACACCATGAGCCACACTGGGAGATATTTACTGACCATCAGTAGATATCTGTTCTGGTGATGAACCGCTTAATCCGGAATAATCTGACCCTCAACCACTTAACCCGGAATAATCTGATCCTCAGCCGCTTAACCCGGAATAATCTGATCTCGAACCGCTTAGTCCAAATTAATCTGATCTCGAACTGTTTAATCGGGAATAATCTGTCTGACTACTGTTCGGGAAAACAGAAGGTGATCCAGAAAAACCAGAATCTCTTGGCTGTAGCTTAAATTTTATAGCTCTATTTTTTTTCTTTAAATAATTTCCAAATGACCGAAAATACTGTCAAAAAATTCCTTTCATTTCAATCTTGTCTTGATTCAAATCCACATAAACAGAATCTGTGAAATCGCTCGTCAAACAAGATGGCTGCCCCGAGCACATTGACATCATTCGTAACTATGGAAACCCAAGGAGTGCAATGGTGGGAAATAATTCAGATTTTCCTTATATTAAATCTTCAAAAACAATAAAGTCGATTTATGGTCCAGCCCTACATCTACTCCAGAACCGTCTGATCCAGAACTGTACTCTGTAAATAGTCTGGTTCTGGTCTGGAAGCTTTTGGATTTTTCCGGGAATCAGTCGTAGTGTCTCTGAACGTTCCCATTTCTACATCTGGAAATCTGGAAGCAGATATCTGGAGTTTTCTATAGTGGGACATAAGACGTCTGACCCGGTCCGATGCTCCAGATCTGGGAGTCCAGAACCTGAGAGTTTCCCAGAAAGGAAGATCGGCATGAAGCTGCCAGGTCCGTTAAGGAATCTCAATCTGAAATATTCCCAATAGAACGGAGGGAATCTAGGAGGAATTAGAAATGTTCTGCTGAACTGGACTGGTGAGGCAGTTAGCAGTGAGTTAATCCAGAACCAGCAGAACCGGAACCAGGAGATTGCTGAGGAAATGCAGCGTTGAGAAACCAAGGAGAATCTAAGTGTTCCGGAGCTCCCAGTAGAAAGACGGTTCACACGGTTCCATGTTCGTCATGCAGGGGCAGATTAGCTGATGATGGGAAGTCAGCACAAACACGACACATTAATCCAGATATAATCTAGATTTAATGTCCAGCCGACATCTCAGATTTGCTCCTGATTCATGCTGATATTTTCTGATGGATGAAACATCAACCAGCCGTGAGCAACAGGAACAGAGATGATGGTTCCTTACACACGGCGATCTGAATCCTCAAAGTCAAAAGTTAGCAGCAATAATCTGGATTATTTATTAGGTAGCATGCTAAATTTTAGCTCCATGCTAAATATGTAGTGCTTAGCTAGCTAAATGTCCAGTTAGCTTAAAACTAAAGCTAAATATTTAGCACCAAGCAAAATATTTAGCTAGCTACAAACTAAATATTTATCTTGAAACTTAATATTTACTTTGGAGCTAAGTTTTTAGTTTGTTGACGAAAACTAAATAAATCTTCAGTTTAAAAATGAATATTTAGCTCGGAAACTAAACATTTAGTTTGAAACAGTGACATTTATAAATGACTGAATAACAGGGTGATGATTGAAACCTGAAACCCTGATTTGGGTAAATAATCCAGATTATTGCTGCTAACTTTTGAGTCTCAGTTTTCAAACGGCCACCTGTGCTTCCAGACTCCAGAAGGTTTCTTGCTAGCTGCTCTGGAACGGATTCCTGATTTAAACCTTCTCCTGTTTCCTAACAGCCTGAAAACACAACAAGCACTGATGGTTCATGCAGAAGCCAGACGATGGATCACCAACATGCCAACACCTTTGGACCTGCACAGAATCATCCGACGGCTCGGAACACCTCCAGGTTCTGAGCCCGTTCTGAACAAAGCTGCTGGGCCACAACGTGCGCAAGCATTCATGGTTGTGATTGGCACAGAGCAGAAATCATCTGATTGGCTGGGTAAGGACCGGTGGGCGGAGCAACAGTAGCATCTTACTACTGCTGATTCTTCTGGCGAGCTAACTGGACTTTAGTTCAAATTAGGAAGGTCCGATTAAAACCTGAGCAGAATTCCTGAATGTGATCCCTCGGAGCCACCTGGAGAACCGGGTCCTGCCCACGATCTCTGTTCAGTTTTCCGCCAGGACCTCGGAATAAAGCCTCCAGCTGGAGCATCCAGGGACTTTCACCAGCAGATCCGTTTGGTTTCATCAATCAGATGATTTCTGACTCCGAGGAAACACCCAGCATTCCCACAGAAACACGTCAGGCGGATAAAAAGCAGCAGCACCTACTTTCAGGCGGGACCCGGTCTTTGTGAGGACACCCGGACAGGCTGCGGTGGTGCGGGTACAGACCCGTCACATGACCCGTGCCGTCGCAGCCCGGCGTCGGACACTTGCTCTCCTTCTTCTCTCCTCTGGAAGAATCTGGAAACAATCAGAAGCAGAAAGGTCCAGTGAAGATCGGTTTCCATGCGGAGCAGCCGTGTACCGGGCGGTAGCAGATATTCAAACGGCGGGCAGCTCTGGTTTGGGTTCTGGTTCTGTTGGACGGCATGGTGCCGGGTCGACACCTCTGAATGATTATGTTCTTCAAACCATCCAGGAATTGTTTCTGTCGCGCTCCAGGGAGCGTTAACCTGCCGCCATGTGGAGCAGTGTTTTCATGAACTGTTAGAGCTGGTTGGTCTCTGTGTCAAAGGTTTCCCAGCAGACAGGTGAGAACCTTACCTGGGTGACAGGTGAACTCTACCTGGTTCCACCCGCTGAAGGAGCCAGGTAGTCAAGCTGGCCACCATACTCTGCTCAGTCACTGTTTGTTTGCTGAAGATCAGCAGCAGTAACTCTGAAGCTGCGATCAGAACCCAAACACAGCTCTCCACAGTTTGGATCAGAACCGTCCTTGGGTCAGTCAGTGCAGGTGTCTCTACCTTTAGGGTAGCACGCCCTCTTCAGCCCGTCCGGGTGCATCCTGGACTTGCGTTCCTCAGCAGCGATGCTCAGCCTGGGGCTGTGCTGGTCCCGGCGGGGCATGGCGTGCTCAGGCACCACCCGGTCCCTCATCACCTTTGCCCTCTCAGACTCCAGGGCGATGGCCTTCTCCAGCAGCGACAGGTTTCCCTTGGCCATGTCGAACGTGTCATCAGAGCGGTCTGAGGCTACAGAGGTGGTGTCCTCGTCACCCTCCTGGCTGCAGCTGTAGCCTCTGGATGCTGGGCTCAGTTGCTCCTCCAGCTTCATCAGATTCAACATTTCAGAGTAGCTGCGCTCCAGCGGCCTGGCGTCTTCCTGAACTCCGGTTGGACAGCTGTCGTACCTGAGAGAGAAGCACAGGCAGGTTTCAGCAGGTCTAGATCAGGTTCCTCAGACAAAAACGCAGTGATCTGAGTCCTAAGCAAAGACTGGAGGGAAGGAGCTTCCTGTGGCTGAATGGTGTTTGGTGGAACACCTGAACCCATCAGCGATTGTTCAGGTAGAGAAGGCCCAACAGTGACTAGCTTTCCAACCACCAAACCACCGGGCAGGATATACATTTCATCCAGCAACTTCTTGGTCTTCCCTGGAGTCTGGTCTTAGTAAAACCTCCAAAGGGAGGCAGTCAGACCAAACACCTGAACCCCCTGAACTCCTTTCACAGGTGAGAAGCAGCGGTTCTGCTCCTAAGGCTGAGCCGAGCCGCTCTCCAGAGGAAGCTCATTTCTGCTTTTGGTTACTAGTTTTGGCTACAGGTTGATATTATGTGACGTAAACCTGATCATTTGTTTCGTTTCCTCTACATGACCTGGTCTTACCTGTTCAGGTGTTGCAGCACCTGCTGGTCCACTGCTTGTTGAACGTAGTTACTGTGCAGGAGGGGTCGGTCCGACGGAGGCGTCTCGCTCAGTTTTCGGGCCAGATCAAAGCACTGGTTCCTCAGACACTCCAGACTGCTGAGACATACCTCCTCCCCAGCTCCCTCCGTTTGACCCCTGACCCCCGGCCCGCGCCCATCATTCACCACAGCACTCTCTGGGTATCCGTCTTCAGGCAGCATGGCGCCGTGACCCTGAGCCAGGAGCTTCAAGGAGTCCACAGTCTCTCTGACCACATCGCTGTCCAGGTCCACGCTCAGGTCGCCCTGCCTGTCGTCTGGCTCGCTGCCGTCATCATCATCATCGTCGTCGTCTTCCTCCCCGGCGCTGTTGGACGAGTTGCTGTTCATCTCGGACTCAGTCATGGCCTGGTAGGCAGCGTCTTCTGCGATCTTACCGAGGTTGAGCAGCGACTTGGCCACCAGCTCGTCGTAGTTCTCGTACTCCTCTCTGGGGGCGTTTCCGACGGCGCAGCTGTTGTTGTTGTTGTCCTTCTGGATGGGGAGGAGCTTTGACTGTCCGCTGGGTTTGTACTGGTTCTCTGCAGGAAAGAAAAACACTTCAGTCTCAATACAACAGCAGGAAACCACCGACTACAAACAACGACGCAGTTTGATCCAAAGAGAAACAACTTCCTACTGATCGGCATGAGATTACATCAGAGATTACAGAACCAGAACGTGTGAAGGCAGCGGAGGTGCAGCCGGGTTCTGGAGCAGCGGGCTCGCCCTGTTCAGGTGCCGTTCACTCCAGAACCTCACCTTTCATTCACTACGAGATGAAGAGATTTAGATCAGAACCGGATCAGAACTCACCCTGAAGCAGAGTCCGCTCCCCTTCCTCCTCCTCTTCTTCATCCTCCAGCTCTTCCTCATCGTCACCATCATCTTCGTCTTCGTCCATCCCCTCCTCCTCTTCCTCCACTTGTTCTCCTCTTCCTCTCGTGTCTGTACTCTCCAATGCCATCCTCTCCTCTTCATCCTCTCCATGCTCCTCGTTGTCCTCGGAGAACTCTTCTTCCTCGTCTTCCTCTCCCTGCTCCTTCCTCTCCTGTCCTACCTCCATGGTTTCATAGCTCCTGAAGGCTCCGCCCCCCTGCTCTTCTTCCTCCTCTTCCTCTCCCAGGCAGGGAGCGATGAAGGGCCTCCTCTTCGCCGCCGGTTCCTGGGTCTGTTTGTCCAGAGTCCTCTTCTTCTTGGCCAGCGGACAGCCGTAGACACTGCAGGGACACAGAGGGAACATTTGGGAACATTCGGTAAGTTATGAACTGGATTCATCAGGAAACCATCAGCTGGAAGCGTTTCCCAGACAGGAACAGATCCGAGAACAACTCCTCCTGCTCCTCCTCATCCTCCAGGTGTCATCCAGCAGCTCTGGTCTCATTTATTTCACCAACAATATCTATAACCTCCACACACTGCAGTCAGAACCCTGGACCCGGATCAACAGGTGATGGGTTCTGGATCCTGAATGAGTTCCTGAGCTGGAAGTCCAGGTTCTGTGAGCCGAACCGTCAGCAGCAGCACAGTGGGGTCGGTACCAGAATCTCACTGAACCGCTGCTGTGGCTCCTGTTGCCATGGTTACCTGCAGCCTAATTAGAGCTGACGGGTTATTTTCCATCGCCACGGCGACACGTCTGCAGCAAAGTTTTAATGAAACCGGATCTGGAATGAAACTGAGTGGATTTAGCCGATCTGATTGGTTTTCACCCCGGGGCGGCGGGGGTGAGGAGGGGGGGGGGTTACCATGGAGACAGATCCTCTGCAGCTTCCAGACGGTGCTGTCACTATGGCGACATCATCCAGAAAAAACTGGGGGGGCAAAGATGGGGAATCGATTAAGAAAGAGTTACGGATGAAATCCAAATATTATAAAACCAGCGTGAAGCGTGACGAGGAGAGGCGAAAGCTCCTCACCTGAACCTGCATGATGAGGTTAGCGCTGGTTCGTTAGCCGCTAACGCTGCGGCCAACCGGGACACAGCGCCACACGGTGGACAGCGAGTTGAGATGTAAACGCTGCACATAATGTTTTGTTCCCAAATATAAATCATTCTCAACGCTCCTCTGAAAGCGACGACAAGTTATTCCTGCGGTTCACATGGAGCTGCTCAACCAGAGCTAACGCAGCGGGTTTAAACTCTTACCTTGATGTGGAGTTCTCTAAAGAATCATAATCCCTCACAGTGGCTGATGTAAATATCTGGTCAGTCTGTGTCCAGTTTGAGTGAAAGGAGGCGATCTGTGCCGAGTTAAACTTCAGACATCCAGCTGCTCCAGCGTGTGATTGGTCCGCTCTGCCCGCTTTCAGTGCATCAACTATAAACCATCTTTTAGGAATAAATTTGCTCCACCAGTGAAACGCTCAGAGCAACAGAGACGCTTTCAATACAGATAAATAAATAAATAAAATTAATAATAAAAGAGGTAGGACAAGAGGAAGATGGCGGAGGAGGTAGGAGCATAGACAGTTAGCTCACCAGAGTCGGGTTAAAAATGCCCACAACTAAACTGGAACTTGATAGATAAAACTAAGGCATGAGTTTGTTAAGCAAGAAATGAAACCGGAGAAACTATAAAAAGCAAAACGGAACCGAAGAGCTGCCTGTAACGGAAGAAATCTCTCAACACGAAGCTAGCGGACACGGAAAAGTCCCAACGGAGAAAGTGGAGGAACACGAGGACAGAGAAACGCTGCAAAATGGCGGACAGCAACTAGAAGTGATGTTAAAGCCCTTAAACAAGAGCTGTGCAAGGAGCTAGCCGCGTTCAAAGAAGAACTGAAGAAAGAAATGAAGGAAGAAATAACGAATCTTCGACAAGAAATAGACAGTAGGCTGTCCGAGAATATCGGGAGCTACAGGCACAGCAAGGCAGCATAAGCGAGGCACAGACGCGGATAGCGGAGGTGGAGGAGAGGAAGACGGAGGCTAAAGAGGTGCTAACGAAGATGGCGGAACAAACACGGCGAATGCAGGAAAAACTAACCGATCTCAAAGGGAGATCAAGGAGAAACAATATCCGAATCTTCGGTTTACCAGAAGATGTAGAAGGGAGATCCACAGTTACATTTCTGGAGCAACTTTTTAAAAAGGAGCTCGAACTTCCGGAGGGGATCGATCTCCAGATTCAAGGAGCTCACCGAGCCCTCAACCCAAAACCGAGGGTTGAGTATGA